ACCTGTGAGACCAACATTTTACACTTGAAACTTCACAGCAAAATGCTGTGAAGGTGACTTTTTAAAACCTTCACAGTGTTTTTGCTGTGAAGGTTCGACTTTTTTTAAACCTTCACAKTGTTTTTGCTGTGAAGGTTCGACTTTTTTTAAACCTTCACAGTGTTTTTGCTGTGAAGGTTACGTGTAAAAATATGATCTCACGGGTCTCACGAAAACAAGCTGGTCTCACGTGAACCCAACCCTATATATATATATATATATATATAAAGAGAGAGAAAGAAGAGTTATTATGCAACCCTTTACATTTGTAAAACCAATACAACTCAATCTCAACCGTCCATTTAATTTGATAAATATTTGATTTCATAAAAGTTTTGATTGTTTTCTAATATAAAGTATTGATCATAATTAATGAACTCTAGTCATCTTGTATAAATATTCAAAGTATAATAAATGAACTCTCATCATTTCCATAAATATCTCAATTAATTTATGTTGCATTGGTTGTAGAAATGAACATGGTTGCATTTGAAATATACCCCATATATAGAGGTGAGTTATTATACAACCCTTTACATTTGTACAAGTAATACAACTCAATATCAACCGTCCATTTAATTTGATGAATATGTAATTTGATAGAAGTTTTAATTGTTTCCTAATATAAAATATTGATCATAATTAATGAATCTTATTCATCTTTCATAAATATTTAAATCATAATAAATAAACTCTCATTATTTCCATAAATATTTTAATTTATTGGATTGCATTGGTTATACAAATATAATGGATTTCATTTGAAACAAACTCTCTTTCTCTCTCTCTCTCTCTCTATATATATATATATATATATATATCATTTTTCAAAAAAGAATTAGGAATTAACAAAAGTACACTCACTTAACCACACTTTAAGTAACGGTGCTATTATAATTGAAACACATATACGACTTTAGAGTTTTATGTAAACTATAGGGACTAAAATCGTAGTTCACTTTTTTTTTTTATATAAAGAATTTGATTATATTTTATATATAATAAAATTTAATAGAATTTAAATAGAAAATAAAGTATCAACTAGGGGTGATAATTATATATAAAACCAATTAATATATGTATCAACCATATCAATCGAATTAATACCAGTTTAATTGATATTAATTACAGTTAAGTCATTTATTAAGATAATACCATGATACTAACTTATTTAATTATTTATTAATTTTTATATTTTTATGTATTAAATATTAAACATTGTAACTTTATCTATTATGTTTTATACATTTGAATATTTGCAATTCTTATTCTTTATAATTAAAACTCATTAAACATCATATATGTTACTTGAAAAATTAAAATGTCACTCAAATTTTAAATAAAATTCAAGTTTTTATACATGTAACTTGAAATTGGTACAAAATTGGTATCAATATGTACCAACCAAAAAGAAGTTGATAACCTCATTAAGTTAGTATTGAATATAATTGATTGATATGCTTTTTTAAAATTCTACGTACCAATTATAATGGATTAATACATATTATTGAGATCAGGGACGTTCCAATCTTTTTGAAGGCCCTGTTACATCCAAAACTTTTGATTACATTGCATAAAAGAGATAAAAGAGAATATCTATACTATATTATAAAACATTTGACAAAAACTTTCAAACACCATTTTTATGCATGAAGTACTGTATATAAATGTATATTACTTAAAATTTAAGATTACAAGTAAATTGTGCATAAGTACAACTTATTAAAGCTTCATTTTTGAATTTGTATAACTAACTACAGATAAATATAAGTATATACAAGATAAACATCTCATTTTAAATTAAAAAAAATTAAAATATAATTAAGATAATTATTGAGTTCTAACAAAATCATTATCTTTATAAAAAATTTATTGTTAAACCAAAAATAAATTATTTCATTATTTTACCTAAATTAAATTATAATAAAAATTTTGAATTAGAAAAATTGTACAAAAAACGAGAACTTTTAAATAGTTAATTTGATATTAATATCGATAAAATTTTTCAAAATTTTACGATGTATTCAAATTTATTTTTATTCAAAGGTAAAAACATTATCTTTCTTAAAACCAAATAAACCATATTATATTAACAGAAAAAAAAAAAAACGAAACATTAAAATGAAGATGTATCTTGCTGTATTGTACGAGTGCTCTTTTAGTATGTTAATAACAAAAATGGGCTAAACCTAATTAAGAATTTGAAACTAAACCTAAACCATTAATGATTTGAACCTAAAACTAAACAATTAATGATTTGAACATAAATAATTATGGCTATAATTTTACTTAAATCGATAAAAGACCCTAAATACATATAAATAGCTCCAAGATTTTGAGAATTTGTTGAAAATGTCACATTTAACATCATAAGGGACTACTTGTTGAGATAAAATATGGTAACGCAACATGTCCACCCTATGAGAAATATGGACGAAAAAGTGAGGAAAAAACGCGTACGTATTGTATGTACTGTGGTGGTCGAAACACTAATGTAACCCATACCCGTCTCTTGTTCACCATTCTCTCTCTTCGCCTTCGGGTAGTGCTTGATTACAAAAGCCAAATTCGCCCAAAAATGCAAATGCTCTGTAGATCACTAGCACCTTCTGCCATGGCTGCCCTCCCTTCTTCTGAGGTTTCTTCCATTTTCTCTCTTCAATTTTCACTACTTCCTCTTTTATCTCCATTCTTAATTTGGTATACAATCTCGCGTCTTTGAAGATTCTGACTTCACAGTCTGATTCGTATGCATTTTTCTGTATGTTTTAGTAAATTTTATCATCACAGATATTGGTAGTGTCGGATATGAATTGTGTATTTGGTAGATTGTCTGATTATCTGACTTCATCATTGTAATTGAGATTTTATGGACTCAGTTACTGTGGAGTAAGATATTTAATGAGGAATATACATTTAGGTCATGCCTAGTTTGGGTTATGACTCTCTAAATTGTCGTTTTGTTGTTGTGAAAGAATGAATTTGAGAGTTTAAGAGGAATGCGTATCATAAACGCGTTTTCTGGTTTGACAATTTTCGTTGTTTTTAAGAACATTTTCATACAAGTCAGCTGTTCTGGCGTTAGGGTTTAGGGCGTTTGTTGTTCTTTTTTTTGGCAAGTAGCTAATCTGATATTAACACTCTGTGGATTACTAAAGATCATTGCGAAAATTTAGAGAGGGAAAAAAGACGAAAGGAGAAGAAACTATATAGAAAATTTAGGGGAAAGATCAGGGATAATTTGTCAAAAATGGTAAAAAGCTGAGTGGTAGAAAATATGACAATCCGGGACAACGTTTTGGGAAAAGCAGGTAACTTACTTTTAGCCTTTTATTTGTGTCATCAAAGAGTTAAGGTAAATGGTATTGCTTACTGATGAATATGTACGTGAGTCTTATAAAAGAGGGAATGCCAGAAAGTAATTACCTGATGCCAAGAATATGATAGAGGGGAGAGATAAGTTAGCATTGATGAATTAGCATACATATTATCTTTCATCAATGCCTATCTTGTATTGCAATTTGTATTGGACAGACTTGAAGCTTTTTGATTGTTTTCTAATGTTCTAGGCGAGAAGGATGGTCTGTGTATGGCCGGGCATAAGGCAACTCTGCCTTCGGAAAAACCTTATGTATGGGTTCGTGCAGTTATTTTCATTTCCGTTCAAAACCTTGCGAGGAGTCAGTCGATCTCTTGGTGTTTCTCATTTGTGTAGCATTTCCAACATGTCATCATCATTGCAAATTGAATTGGTGAGTTTACATTTTTGCAGTTCCTAAATCATTTTCTTCATTTTGTATTCTTGCTTATGAGTTAAGATGCATTATCTGGAACACACAGAGTCACAAACTGTCTTCCTTATCGTTCACCAGTTTGTACACCTTAAATTTGCACGTCCATATTGATTTTTACTGTCATCTTTTTCTTGTGGTATGTTAGGTACCATGTCTCAAGGACAATTATGCATATCTTTTGCATGACGTAGATACTGGGACTGTTGGAGTGGTTGATCCTTCTGAATCTCTACCAATAGTAGATGCCTTGAGCAGAAATAATCGGAATCTGACCTACATTTTAAACACTCACCATCATTATGATCACACGGGTGGAAATGTGGATTTGAAAGCTAGGTATGGGGCAAAGGTGAGCCAAATATGATTTTTGTTTGTAATTTTTAACTTTCAGGTGATTAAACTTTTCGCTTAACATGATGGCTAATTCCTGTTCCTGGTATGAGTCATCTAAGTAATAGCTTAGAAAGAGACCATTCTTGTGTCAACAAGGTCAACTTGCAACTTAAGTTCTAGCAGACAGTCGATGCTTTCCAAACGTCTTGACCATTAAATACATGCTTTGAAATATCAAAATTTCCTCGTAATGGGAACCTAAAATGTGCATTGATTACCTTTTACAAGTGTTATAGGAGATTATGTTTTATACTACTTTGAGAGATTGTATTTATAAGATCTGTAGGGATTAGTTGAAGTTCAAGAAACTAGTATTTTAGGTTGACTAGACCTTAAGTAGATTTTATTTTATTAAAATTTAGTTAGGAGCAAATCTTTCATCTTTATTCCAAAGATGATGAATCCACATTGAAAATAATACGATGGTGTAGCACACTAGCAGTAAAACTTTACCATAGTGCTTGCATATGCCAGAGGAGCTGTGCAAAAGATGGAAGTTCGATAGATGTTGTCTGTGAAAGATTACTAGATAGCATCACCATAAGATGCTAAAGGTAGAAGGAGTTGATATCTGGAGAAGCTGGGAAAAACATAAAAGATAATACGACTATACGAGTTAGGAGGTGATAATGACACAAGGCTGGATTAGTATTTTTGACATATCATTGATGCTTATCTTATTTGGATTTAAAACAAATTTGCTTTTGCTTTTAGGGTGCTGTGTTCTTTCTTGTAATCACTGTTTTACTGTAGTTGGATTCATTTCCCAATTCCACTAGTTTAATCTTTTCGTTGTCTGTGGAACTGTGGGTTTGGATGAGGCTTGGGTAGCATTGGGTAGGAGGTTGATGAAATGCAGCATCGAGGGACCTCTGTCAGCACCGTTTGGGATGCTTGTAGAAAATTCCATCATAAGGTTGTTGGATGGCAATGCTACATGCATAGCATCTAATGGATTTTCCAGCAATAACAGTGATTATTGGTAAGGTGATGGTGATGTTACACATTAGCATGTTTGCTTTAGATTTTCAAAAGTGCAGGTATAGGTAGGGTCATTTTGAAGGCAATGCTTGATCATGATTTATATGTATTTAAGAAACTAGGTTATGCAATCAGGTATGATGTGAGTAATGATACACTAGATGGCTTGAATTTCGTGAGAACAGGTTGTTTGAATGTCAATATTTTTCTGCAGTGGTAGAATATTATATGGATTATCAAGCGAGTTGAGATTTACATGCTGCTCTAATTTTTGGAAATTGCCTGTCATTTTTTGTCTAGAAGTCAGAGTGCTTTTTGTAGGCGTCATGAGATACTAAAGTGTCATTTGTTCTTCATTTGTGAGAATATGCTCATTCTTTCAGGTCCATGATGACCTTATATCTTGGTGCTATTTCTTTATTAGGTGAGGCATCAACCTAGTATGGAATCTGCTTCTTGTGAAATGTTTATTACTCATACTTTGTTTTTCCTAGTGAAGATAAGAGAGTTCTTCCATTTGACACCTTTCCCTTTATCACTTTCAGGATGAGTATATACATTACTTTGGTATATACCTTCTTTATCATTACAAAGGTAGTTTTGATTCATTTTGGTGACAAATTAACATCAATTTTATGGTCTAAGTTATATCCCGGAGTATTTTATATATTTAGCTATCAGTCAACTGCTTCTGCTAGTTAAACTTTGTCATCCTTGTGGGATGGAGGGGGTATTATTGTCGTTATCTAGTTACTTCGTACTATTAGTACTGTTATTATATCATCTTTGGAGCTAGTTAAAAGTTAAGTGTAGAAGACCTAATTTATGGAAGTAATTTGTTATATCTAGTTTCTAGGGTGGATGCTAGCTTTTTATCACCCTCCATGACCTATTTCAGGTTGAGGTTCTCTAAGTAATACAAACATGCCAACTGCTCCAACATATAACCTTGTGAAATATGTAGGGAACTATATGATAAGATACAAGTAGGTCAACCTTGATACTTAACTTAAAAATCTTAAAAGTTGGGGATAGGAGGACATGGAGATGACACACATCCCTTTACATAGAGACATTATGCAAAGCTACATAGACACGTAGTCACAAGTTAAAGAAATATTCCCACATTATCTAGTCTTGAACATTAACACGATCACTATCTGGCAAACTCCAAATTGAACCAAGTCGACAGATTAAGTACGTGTTGTATGTTCCTTCTGCAATATACTTGTATCCAATTATCCAATACACAAGCAACACCCACATCGAAGTATACTAATAAGAGTCGATAAAAGGTTGCCAAGATTAGAGTATTAAAACCCTACAGCTTTCGAGAGGCTGCAGTCTCTCCCTATTCAATTGTAGAGAATTGAATTATAATAAATTGATCTATATTCCAAAAAGGTAAACAATGAATGTATTTAAACTGATAAGTAAAAGACTCCTAGAATAAAACGGATCCTAAAGAAAAACAATTATAACAATTAAAATAAACATAAGATAGTTATATGTAAACTTGATGACTTATGACTTATCCAAGACTTGCTTTATTTTTATCTTATTAATCTGCCCTCCTCTCTTTTCTTCTTGAATATGTCTTTATACTCTAAAGTCTATCAACACCCCCTCGGGGCAAGACTTGTAGCTTGTCCTCAGATGAAAAGAAGGAAATTGCATCTTTAACATTCACAATCTTCCCAGGAGGCTTCAAACACAGGTAAAGTCTTCCATGATTAATGCCTCTTGTCTTCCATCCTGTGTTGTTCGTACTTGTAGGACATCTTCCGGTTCTACTATCTTTTCCATATCGTCATTCAATTGATTTTGCAATATGGTTGAGGAGGCGCACTGTCCGATTGCTCTCCTCAACTGAGAGACATGAAACACTGGATGGAATCGTGTAGATGTTGGCAATTCCGAGTGATAAGCCACCCTTCCCACCTTGCCTACCACTTTAAATAGTCCATAAAAATGCACGAACAACTTTTGGTGGTTGTTTTTCCTTAAAGATTTCCTGTAGGTAAGGCCTAAGCTTTAAGAAAACCATATCTCTAATGTTAAAATTTGCCTCCTTCCTATGCCCATCAGCTTCTTGTTTCATTTTGTGTTGTACTTGCATTAAGAACATTCCTAGCAAATCAATCCCATCATTTCAGTCTTTTAACATTTGCTCCAATAAAAACTTCAAGCTTTGTTGGTCTGTCCTTACAACGAACTTCCTTCCGATCAAGTACGGTGTGAGGTCACTTTGATCAATCTTTAAGGTATCTTCAATGAATCCATGGCATTTTATGATTTAGCCTTGAAGAACATGAGAGGAGAGATGAGAGAGTTTAAGAGGAAAAGTCAAGATCTGAAATCTAGTCAAACTTCAATATACGTATTATGAGTTTTACAATGGAGCTCTTGCAAAGATTACAAGACTTCACCCTATTTATAGGGTCAAACATTACACAAATGGTCAAAGTCAAACTATCTAAGAAAAGTCAAACACGATGACTTTTCTACAATTATAGACAAAATAAACTTTCAAGACGAATACAATATTACACTGACTTTCAGTCCTAACATTCTTCCCCTTTGTATTCAGACTTGAAAGAATTTCCGCGCTTTAAGTCTCGTTTGAACTTTGAAGCTTTAAGCACACTATTGTCTTCTTCAAAAACAAACTTCAACTTGAAAACTTCAGACGATCGTTAGTTGAGAAAGATCTTCTTACATTCTCCCCCACGAATGTAGAACAACGATGATCTTCTCTTTTGACAATATAGATCAAAAACAATAACAATCTTCAGAAACAATTGTACAAGATATGATCTTCAAAGAATCTTCAGACAATAAGTCACAAACTTCCTCTTTGAAAAGAAAAACTCTGTTGGTAAACTTTTGAAACATTGATCTTCTCATTCAAAAAAAACTCTCAGACGTTTTATCACAGGAATAATCTTTTGTAATCATCTTCAGTCGCATTCCTTTTGAGTCTTTAGCCATCTTTAAAGTTACTCCCCCTTGATCTTTACATCAGATTCCCTTTAAAATGTTCGGAATTGGACATTTCATTCATTATTACATACTCCCCTTTATGATGAAATGAGAATCATTCCATCATACACAAAAATGAATGAAATCCTTCGCGTAAGCCGTCAATTCATAAAATTGTAAGTAGATCTTTGCAAATCCACTTATTTAATCTTTTCAGATTAAGGGAATGGGAAGGTAACAACCAATTTCAACGAATGAAATTGTTTTCAATCTTATAAAAAGATTGGCCTGTAGTATAACAGATATACTCAGTACAACGAATGTATTATATATATGAGACTTTATGAGGCTTATCTCACCAGGTCTTCCATTCAATCATCGATAGCTTAATAAAAGCATATCTATGAATGTTTTGGCAAAATAACGTATAAAATGCAATCTGTGTAGTATAGAAAGATAAAGCAACATATGCTTCTATTTAGGCTCAAAAAGATAAACCGTGTGGACTRCACAAATTTATCAGACTCAATATGTGATCAAAAAGACTTGAAGGGGRSAYATATCCTTCTGATTCAATATCAACTTTCTCCGAATGAGAARTTGATAGATGATGAGYTGCGTRCCCCAAGTGTTATTGAAACATTTATCTGTTGAGAGATAAATGAGTAGCTGGTGGGGTTGTGACAAGAATTGGCCTGGGCTTTGCCTTTTTCAATATTAGTCTCCAAAGAATCGAGAACTAATAGATTGTGTGGTATGCCCGGATTTTAGAAGTTTGGAACAGGATTCTCGTATTCTTTTAATCCTGACAACTCTCGTCAATTCTTTTAGCTCACAACAACTACCCCTCTCATTTTCATTTTAATCTCGGCACACAAACCCTTTTTGATTTAAAGCTCACTCAGATATGGTTGTCCTCATGGGTAGGTTTGTCGGTTCTGACATTCCATTGAGGTATTTCCGATAAGCACTCAGTCCCTCCTAAAAATTTAT